TAAGGGTCTTTTCCAACCTAAATCATTCTGTGATTCTAATTACCATTCAATTATTGCTTATTCACCATTTGATTGCCATTTGATTTTCATTCAACCATCGATTAATTACCATCTGATCATCGCTTAATCATTAATAAACCCCTTTTAGTTAACCCCACAAGGATGACTTTTCTCTGAATTTCTCTTAATGTTGCCAAACCTCTTCCCTCAGCTCAGAGTCTTTTGCCAGCCACATCCTGTTCCAAAAAGCTGGGGTCTCTCCCCTTGGGCAGACCCTAGGGGTGGTGGCCACTCACTGGCATAGGCCACAGCCCCTGAGGAAGCTCCCCCCGGGTAAAGGTTGAGGCTGGCTGGATCCCAGAGTCTGGACCCCAAGGGATGGCACATCAAGTGGGGAAGCTGCCACTGCCTCTGTCCATCAGAAAAAGACAAGCTTTGTCCAGTCTGTCTCTTTCCCCTTCTTCTCTCCCCCTTCCCTTAAAGCCTTTTATTTCTGCCTCTCCAGCCTGTGTGCTTCCTCGACCTGATGTCTCACTCTGGACTCCTGTTTTGCACAGGAGCTGGGGCTTTTGCCATCTGATATTCCTTGGAAAAAGCAAAACTGAAGTCTGTAAACCAACCCCACTACTGCTATATTCTGCACTCCTGCGCAGGAAACACATGCAGAGGCAATGGTGTACGTCGTGGAGGAGGGCAGCTCTTGGGCCCATTTAGTTCTAGCGCCTGCTCAAGCAGGGTCCCCTGCAGCAGGCTGCCCAGGCCCACACCCACTCAGGTTTTGCCTGTCCACAACAGAGAGTGGGAAGCATGTGGCCGAGGGTGTCCCTGCCCGTATTTGGGGTGCACGGAGGCGAGCGGTGGGGATGTCCTAGTGGCCACTGTGACCTGTGGGGGCAAGGCCACAAAAAGGGCTCAGGCCACACATCAGTGCAACCTGGTGAGGTGAGGAGAGGGCAGGGGAGGGACAGGTCTTGCACATGGCTGCCGAGGGAGGAGGGGGGCCCACATCCCAGCGCCTGTGCTTGCAAAATGACCCACATCTCGCTTCTCCCTCACAGTCAGCAGAGGAGCATTTGGAGGAGACACCCTGGCGCTGCTGGGACAGGGACTCTCCAAACGCTCACCGTTGACATGCGCCATGTCCGCCAGGAAGCGGAAGGCCCCCAACTCGATGGAGCAGGGTGAGAGCAAAGTATCCCTCCCACAGCCTGGCAGAGGGGTTGGCACGGCGGTCAGCGTGGGGCCGAGAGCAGTGGCACCCATGTCTCTGTGCTTCAGCTTCACGGAGGATTTGGAAACAGGGCGGGGGGGGAAGAGCAGGGACGCCCTGCATCTGCCTTGTGCCGGGGCAGCAGGGGCTCATCAATTTTCCTTTCTCCATCAGACTGCCATCATGGGAGAACAGCCATGCATACGCGGCACTAAGCGAGAGGCACAGCCGCTGCGATGCCAGTGAGTGCCTTTGTCCAGGAGGCAGGGAGCAGGCAGAGGAAGACGGGTAAGTTGCCAAAGCTGCACCCCGGGGCTCTGCACGGGATCCCTGTCTCGCCAAGGGCTCGAAGCGCAAGGACTAAGAACAAGAACTCTGCCGGACAATCCCGTGCTGCGGTCACTTTGTCCTCAGAGCCATGAACCCGTTTGCTTCCCCAGGCCCTGGCACCTGCTCCTGTGCTGCTCCTGCGCTGCCGAGGGCACCCACAGACGCTGCTCCTGCTTGACGAACAGCACGGCCAGCTGGGAGTGCAACAGCTGTGCACCCGGGTGCCTGGGCTGGGGCCAGGGGCCAGGCAAGGCCTGCCAGCGGGTGCCCAGGGTGGGCTTGGCAGAGCCCCTCTTCTCCAGCAGACCCTCTGCAACACATAGGCGAAGTGGACAGAAGAGTACGACCTTATATGTTGAAATATTCTTCATTCAACAACAAGCATACACCACCAGCAACATTTGTCCTTTATATTTATTCATGTACACACTCAATTAAAAAATAGAAAAATCAGCTCTGTGAAGAAAGACCAATCTACCCATTTCATAAGTCTTCCCTGTTATATATGTATTTTCATAAACTTCTGGTAAATGTTTACTCTGGAAAGATGCATTCCAAATACTTGTGAAGGCATCTCAAACAGCATCTCTATTACGTTCAGCAGAATATGCATTATATATAGTCTTATAGACATGGAGGTACCTGCTCTTTCTCAGCCCTGTTCAGCATTGGGGCCTGAGAACACAGCAAAATAACCCTGTGTTGTCTTTGTTACACGATCAAATTCTCAAAAATTTTGCGAAGCAGCAAGTCACATTTAAAACATATAGACCAAAAAAACCAAACCTTGGTACAAACATTGAATTGACACCATAAACATGTACCTATTTAGAAGCAAAGTTTAACAGTCTTTTCCAATATTATTTCCTATTAGATCTTTGAACGACTAGAATTTTTAAAGTAACATTTTTCTGCAACTTCTTCAAAGAAACATGAAACGTTTCTGACCACTAAGATAAAGATTTATTGTTTTGCTTTCACTTTCCTTCTTGCATCCTTATGCTTCTTCCGGCATTCCTGAAAATATTTAAATTTTAACATCATATTATGAGAAGTTTCTAAATTCATCTCTTTTGAGTCAAACACTTTTTTTACATGCAGTAAAGTAACTGGTCCTGTACCATACCGAGATTAAGTAATTTACCTGACTGGACATCAGAACATGATGTTATACACACTTCTATGCTAGAAATTTTTAGTTCCCTGGTAATTATAAAGTTTCAAGCCCTTCTGAAAGTCCTGAATTAATTTTTAATGCAAATTAAGCAAATAAGCAGCCACGTTCCCTCCTCATGCTGAGCTTTGAGCTGGAGTTACCAAGTAACAGATGTCAAAATACTCACCTCAAGCAATAATCTACGCCTGTCTTCCCAACCATCTTTTTCTTCACTGAGGTCTACTGATCTACAAAATAACTTAGGGCCCTCTGCACAAAACAAAGAACAAATTAACCCTTCTGAATATGCTGCTGTTTGTAAATCTCATGAGCAACACAGCAATAAAGTCAGAAGGCCTATTCTTGATATTCCTCTCTTGCCCCCACAACATGGTTGGCTCAAACAGAAATGTTACGTATTACAGCCTTGTTTACTAAGAAAAATTAAAGGCAGCAGCAGTTTTCCTTAATATGCTGAAACAGATGCTGTTTAACTGCAATTTGTATTTCATTAAAAGCTCGGCACCATTATCCCACGTCTCCCAAGAAAATTTATGCCTGCTTAAGGATTCAGAGCTCAATTTTAAGAGGCTCAATTTTAATCAGATAAGCTGGAAGATTACAGTACAATAACTGTATTAACACAGTAACTTTTACACACAGGTTTAATTATAGTTATCTAATATGTCTCAGGAGACAAACATTATTTAAGGCTGTCCTGATAATTTATTGTCAGCAATTGTTGTGGTGGCCTGTGGGTTGGGTTTTTTTTGTGGGTTTTTTGTTTCTTTGTTCTTTTATTTTGTTGTTGTTTGTTTTTAAACTATGAAATTCATTATATTCAGAAGAGAAACCTCCACATTATTTAGGATCAAGAACAATGTGGGCGTATGTGGCTGATAAGAATATTCAATATTCTTAATAACACCAGAAACACAGAAATAAGTTAAAGATCATATATATATGCCTGAAATGATCCAAAATGTCTAGATAACTTGTCAAGTGATTTTTTTTTTTTTTTGGTATGCCCTACAAGACCAGCCACATATTAGGCAATTATTTGAAAATAGGAAAGCAAGATAGCTGTTCAGCATTTATTCTACCAGGACTTCCTCGTGGGATGTGCTACCACAATTCATACCGCAAGTAATGATGGAAAATAGCAATTTTATTTTATTTTATTTAAAACACCTCTCATCTGTGTTTTAACTACAAAACACTAATAACTAGGCATTTTTTTCTTCTCATTGAATTTCAGTAAGAGTTAACAAGAAAGGGGTGAGTAAGTTCTGTTCTTACTTACCTCTTAGTCGTTCATCATCTTTGGAGAAGAAGAAAAATCTAGCACTTTCTGTCTGTGGTAAGGAGAAAAACCTAGACAAACACAAAGGAATTTTAGCATCATAAAAGTTACTGTCAAATTCTATTAACACAAGTTAAAGCTGTCATGGTTCAAAGAAATAGTCTGCATTGAAGAACATTACTCCACAGTAACCAAATATAGCCTTCTGTAAAAAAACGTTTTTAAGAAAACTTAATATATATTTGACTTTTGGCCAAACCCACTACCCAGTTAAGTTCTCATGCTTTGAACTAGAAACTCAGCTTTTATATTCAACTTCAAATCAAGTGTGGTATTGGGATTTTTGAATATTACATTCTGTGCAGCAAGGAATGGTTTCCTAAGACGACTTCCATTGTTCAGAGATGTGGAATGAAGATGTTAGTTTCCCATGACCTGAGTGCTGCTATTAATTTTCTCATAGCATCAAACTACTAATCAAGTAGACCAACAGAAATATAACTTGCATTTCTTTGTCCCTTTCACTTTCTGATGCCTCTGGTTCATCACCACCCTCAGAACTGCTGTCTTGGAAACGTGGATCTTCTTGCCATGTGACTTTTACAGGTTTTATTGTTTCAAGTATGTAGGGCTCTGCAATAATATCACAATTAAAAAAAAAATAAACCAATCAGATTATTCACCTACTTGCCAGTAAAAATTTCAACTTCAGAATGAAATACTTGGAAAAGACAGATTTAGGAAGGACAGAAACCTCCCCTCCCAGGTTTTCTATCACCCTCTGGGCAGGTATGAATTTAGTTTGCTTTCTCATATGTCACAAATTCACCCTCAAAATTCACAACTAGTATCATCACAACATAGGGAAAAAGTGCAGGAGTCATTCTGAAGCTTGTTGTTAGGCTCCAGGGTTCTATCAAGTCACTCCAACCTAACTATCATTATCAACTGAGTTGGGAGTAATTGTGCCTATTCATATTTTTAGGTTGCAGAAGTTGGAATAAAAGCTTTCCTTCACTGTGAACTATCTTAATAAGTTCCTTCGCAAAGAAACTCATCATGCCTTAGCTTATTCTTTGTGTGTTTAAGCTATGTTATTTTCATGTATGTATTCCTGCCTATAGCATACACTGCAGTTGCCAAAAGCCCAGTTTACACACGGTAACTTAAACACGTACCTGAGCCCTTACCAAAAGGACTGAGGTTATGAACCTATGGTACCCTTTTCTTTTAGTGTATAAGCACAGTACCGGTCTGGATGACCAGACTAGAGAAGACAGCTCCTGTACTGCCTCTCTCTGGCAATATAAACCAGTTTCCAAACCCAAAAGTAACTAGACTATGAACCACGAACAGTATTTTATTCAAGAGAAAGATCAAAAATTCTACTTTGGAAAAAGTGAGCATTTGCAAGTTGAAATTGTCCACAAAACACCCACAGTTTGTGCTAAAAAAAAAAAAAGACTATCCACATGTTCTCCCTTCATGGTTTCCACATGACATGCATGATCTTAGAATCACAGAGTCATAGAATAGTTTGGGTTGGAAGGGACCTCTAAAGGTCATCTAGTCCAACCCCCCTGCCGTGGGCAGGGACAGCTTCAACTAGATCAGGTTGCTCAGAGCCCCGTCCAACCTGACCTGGAATGTTTCCAGGGATGGGGCATCCACCACCTCTCTGGGCAACCTGTGCCAGTACCTCACACCACCCTCAGCGTGAAACATTTCTTCCTTACATCTAGTCTGAACTGACAGGCTGCAATAAGGTCTCCCCGAAGCCTTCTCTTCTCTAGGCTGAACAACCCCAACTCTCAGCCTTTCTTCATAGGAGAGGTGTTCCATCCCCCTGATCATTTTTGTGACCCTCCTCTGGACCCGCTCCAACAGATCTTAAGTCAGGTTAAACAAAAACAACAACAACAAAAAAATCACAAAAATCACCTAAGCAACTGAAGTACGTACAACGGAGAGAGACTTATCTTTTTGTTTGTGTCAATACAGCAGCTAGCACAGTGGCCCTGTTGCCACCAAATAGGATTCTTATGCAATATAAACCAATAATTATTCAGAACAGCAAATATAAGACACAGTGCTCAAGTGTAGTTCTCACTGCTAAGAATTTTGTGAACTCTGAACTAGATCTCCGCTCAGACATTTTCCACTTTGTTCTAGAATTGTCTTACATATTCCGAAACCCGTATTACTGCATTCAGAAGACACTGAATACTTTCTGAAGTCAGCAAATGCGGGGGTTTGTTGTTTTTGGTTTTTTTTTTTTTTTTTTGTATTTCAGTTAACTTCACACAGTTTCTTTTATTTCCTACATTACTACTTATTAAGTGACTTGATTTCAGATTTTTTTAATCTTGATTTCATAACATTTGATTTTATCTTAGGTTAGGACACCCCAATAATCATGTGTCATTCAGTTTCCATTTTCTAAAGGTACAATAATATAATTAAGTACATAATCAAATGTTCTTGGATCTTGGGGTCAACTCTAAGATTTTCTTTTGCTCATAATACTACCTTAATCAATACCCATTTTATTTAAAATCTTGTTGGTTTACATGAAACCTGATTTGACTTGTGTATCATCTTTTTCCCTGTTTATCTGAGAAATTTAGTGGATGACAAGTTTTTCCATCACTGTTCAAAAAACCAAATAATAGTTCCTTCTCAAAACATCCCTTTCAAAATTCCTGGGATGCAAGCATGAATTAACTGTGATTAAACTACAACAATCTTGGCAAGTGTAAGAGAAGATCATAATGATTTTGCGTAATTACTTTTGCCTCTGAAAATCCCCTGGATTCTGAATTTCTATACACTATATAAAAACTCTACAGTGCTTGACATAAGCTACTCATTAGAAATTGTACTATTAAGTATGTTCTGTTACCTTCTTTTATGCCCGACTCCTCCATGTCTCCAAAGAAGGAAAATGTGAAACCACTAGACTCCTGAGCTATGTTACTCCCAACGTTAGATCCCAAATGGTCAGGTGGGGTAGACTCCTCCTCATTGTCTTTGTCCCAGGGTATTTCTTCATTTTTTTCTGATTTGCTCTTTGAAGATCCAAACAACTCTTTTAAATTAACAGCAATATCATAATACATTTCTTTAGACACTTCAGGCAGTTTCTCACTCTCTTCCCTCTTCTTCTTCCTTTTAGCTTTACTGAAATGAGATTGTTAAAGAATAGTAACACAGCACATATATTTTTAAAAGAAAGATTCCCTAAGAGGAAACCTTGCTATTAATGTCTTCCTGAACTTATATAAGCACATTAATGAGTAGTTCACTTTTAAGGTTTGGGGTTTGGTTTTTTTTTTTTTTGTTTGTTTGTTTTTTTGTTTGTTTGTTTTTTGTTTGTTTGTTTGTTTTTGGTTTTTGTTTGTTTTGGGGTTTTTTGTTTTGTTTTTTTCTTTTTTCTTAGCAATTCCAGGTTCTGGCAATAGGATATTTCCTATTGTCAGAAATAGGTTTATAGGGCAGCATGACTATCCTTTTCGTTTAGACTTTTGACCCATTTCTTTTCACCTCCCACAACGTACCCACCCTTTGAGGGTAAGCAGTGGGGAAACATCTGAGGTTTGACTCTAAAGGCAGGAACAAGTCTGCTTTATAATTAACCACATCCTGACTTTTCACTTAATATGTGATAGCATATAAATTAAGGTATTTAGGACTGATTTCTTTTCTGGCAAAAGAAATGTTAAGAGCTGGTATTTTTTTCTCACATATTTGCAAATCTTAAAGTCTATGACTTGAAGCAAAGGGATAGCTTGAAGGTGAGAAAGGAAGACAGAAAATGGCATGCAAAGAGTAGATGGACTAGAAAGAAAAGATGACATTACATGGTGTTTTTAGTGGTCACAATTCTTATTATATCTTGATTCTAGCAATAAGAGAGAGAACTAAAGAAATAACAGAGCAGTCTGCATAGTTTCAAACTCAGTCTTCTGCTACAGCCATCTTTCCATGGGAAGAAGCATCACAATTATAGTTACCAAGCTGTAATATTACCTCTCTTTTTCTGTAGCACTTGGTTTCCTTTCAAAAACTGCATGGTCCTGTCTTGTGGGATCATAGCGGAGGGCATTAATATCTCTATAAAAATAGAAAGGAAAAGAAAAACCATGAGACATTCTAAACGCTCAACTGAAAGCTACCCTAAATATTACAGTCAGATTCAAATTCACATTGAATTCTTTACCAAAAAAGCTCCAAATCAATCCAAAACCTAACTGGCATTTAGAAAACACCTGCTAGCCAGTGTCTGGGCCAGGAAAACTTATAAACAGAAGTGGCTTTAATCAAATTGTAATATTTCATATAAAACATAGACCTCAACTTGTGTGTGTTTTGCAGTAAGAGTAAGTTTATACCTGTAGACCTTTTGAGGAGCTATATCAATATAGCTATCCATATCGATATATCTATCTATATCTATTTCTTCTAGTACCAAACATTGCATAAATTCAAATAGTCCAAGGGGAAAAAAAACCCCCAACAAAACAGGAAAAAAAAACCAAACCCAAAACCCCATTATGCCCACCCTTTCAAAATTTAAACATTTTGGGGACTTTCAGCTAAAGCAGTCTAAAGTTTAGACTGACCCCAATACTAGTGTAGCAAAGCCCACGCTGCCTTATGGCAACGCAAGAAGGTAATCACTTATTTCCCCTCCTCTCCCTCAATTAATGCTTATGGCATAGATTAACTGCTTTTAAATAGTTACATACTGTATCATTAACTGGGTATTAGAAGACACTGTCATTCACAAAACTCTCCTAAGATGACCTCTGGGGTTGCACAGATTATTTCCCCCTCTGCTTAGTCTTTAGAAAATACATGAAAATTTATACAGAAGTCACAGAATTCAATATGATTGCGCAGCAGTCACAATGGTATTTAGCAGTCAGCAGTCAACCGATGCAACTCCAATAGTGACTGTCAGTAAAAATTTACTAATTGCACACTATTGCATTACCCTTAACACTACTAACTTCCACCAATTCAGTCCACAGACCAATTTCTGTTAAAGTGCATAGTTAAATGTCACAATACTTCCAATAGCACACTTCCAAATCTATCCCATCATCCTCTAATGAAGGTTAGAGCATGCCCAACAGCAACATGTAACAAATTCCTAATCTAATCAAGACATTTCTCAAAAGGAGAAACACAGATAAATGAAAAAAAAGAAAAAAAAAAAAAAAAAAAGAGAAAAAAAAAAAAAAAAAAAAAGAGATCACCACTGAAAAAGGAGTTTGATGCTAATCACCTGTAGGCCAGAAAAAAACAATAACCTTATTAACTGTTACGGAAGTTAGAGTCTAACTTACTGACCTACTGCCCAACTCACATGTTCTTTGTTTAGCCAACTTAAGTTTGTCTCCACAGAGAACAGAAATATATCTTACACAGGCAAGGACTTATTAAAATATTAATTTTCCACTGAAAAAGGAGTTTGATGCTAATCACCTGTAGGCCAGAAAAAAACAATAACCTTATTAACTGTTACGGAAGTTAGAGTCTAACTTACTGACCTACTGCCCAACTCACATGTTCTTTGTTTAGCCAACTTAAGTTTGTCTCCACAGAGAACAGAAATATATCTTACACAGGCAAGGACTTATTAAAATATTAATTTTCATAACCAACAATCCAATCATTCAAAGTCTACTAGAAGAAACTCAAGCAGGCATCCAATAACTTTTTCCCTAAAATAATGATAATTATTACCAATAATTACCAATTATTACCAATTGTATAATCTATTGGGACACTCAAGTTGGGAAACTGCATTAAAGGCTGCCTTCAAATGCATACAACAGAGAAGGAAATACTTTTCTCAGTCAGCTAGGCAGAAATCTTAGTTGTGAAACATTGGCAAAAATTAAGCCTTCCTAAAATTCCTTCTTTTCTGATAACAGATGATTCATACTTGAATTTCTTAGCACTTGTGGCTGTTTTAGTTGGCTTAGGGTGTTCCAGGTTGATATTCAAGAGGCTTCCCAGTATTTGCAGATTTTTCTTTTTCTCTGCAGCAAGCTCTTCTTCCTCATCTGCCTTCACGATGTTTGTCTCTGCTAAGAGAAAATACATACATTATTTTTTCCTCGCTATGACCTGAATAAGTCTGTGATGTTTGATACATAACATTACTATAGTACTAGAAGAGCTCATACATATCAACACGTCACTTCCTTTATTTTAAAGGTACTTAGAGGCTTTCTTCCTTGCACTGTAGAAAATCTTTGATAAGAAATATCATGGACATCTATTTCATGTGAAAGTCAGATCAATTATATAACCTGTTCCCTGCTTATATCACATAACTGTGCAACTAACTTTGCCACTGATAGATGCTGCACAGAAGATCACATTAAAGCAATGAAGGGAGTGGCAGAACTAGGCAAAAATTTAAGTTTCAGAAACAAATTCTGCATCTTGAAAACTAGGTTGACAATTTTGGTTTGGGGGGGGGGGGGGGTTGGTGGGGGGGGGAAGAAATATTTAAAAATTTTTGCCTTTTTCAGCTTTTCTGCCTTCTGTTGTTTAAAAAAAGAATAAAATTTTTCTTTCTAAAGCTGCCAAATCAGCCGTGGACTGCAGGATGACTACAAAACAAACAGTTTAAGTGAATGTAACGGTCAAAAAGTTTATTTCAATGTCACCACTTATCCTGTGAAAAACATGGATAAACACATTCCGATATCATCCTGTATTAAAAAAATATTTTCAAGTGTCGATCTATCAACCAAGTACGTCTCATTCAGCTATTACAAATACTTTTGCAACATATACATTTAAGAAAACACAGCTACCAATATATACTAGGTACAGCCATAACAGCGTTGGGTTATTTTCTTTAAGGAGTCACCAAAGCAGCAAAAGAAGTCCATAAGTTGCTTCAAGCATCCAAAATTAAGGCTCCGTGATATAGCTCTATTACTATCATTAACCAGGAAATATGAGCAGGTTTACCTTCTTCTTCACTGTCACTTTCAAGGAATCGAGCATCCATGCGAAATCTTTCATCTGTGCCGAATCGCGACTGCAATTTCAAGAGCTAAACAAAATGAAATAGATCCTGTTAAGCGCTGGAGAAGAAAATCATCAAAATTCAGTAACTGTCTTTTGCTGTATTTATGGCAACATACTAATAAGCTTCAGCTCTTGATGCCTTTTCCAGAAATTTCTTTGTATTCAAAGATGACAACATCAGAGAAACTCCCCCCGCTCCCCAGCACACATCCTTTTCTCCGTGGCTACTGTTTCCTCTATTTAAGAGAATTCTGTTGCAAGTTTGTCAAAATCATATTCAGCAAGTATGGAAACCTACATGTTATGTTCTTCTGAAGTGGCATTATGGAGACTTAGAAGAAAACTAAATTACGGTAACGGCTTCACTCACTTTTTCACCAGCTTTGCCTTCAAACTGGGGCTTAATTTTGAATCTCTCATCGTCTGTATCATCTTGCTCATCTTCGCTGCTTTCAAACAGTCTGCCCGAAGTTTTAGGAGCAGATTCATCCTTTGTTAAACAAAAAGAAAATATAGAAAAGCAGCCGTTTACCTAAGTTTGAGAAAATAAATCAGCATCAACTTTGTTCACGTGCTTTCCAGTTCATCTGAAAAGTGGATTTCTAGAACAACCAGCTCACTTGTTGATCCATGTGCTTCAAATCTTGTATTGTATACACACTTTGTACAATTCTGGTTTACAGTTATTACTATTAAATTTTAGCATAGGCAAAATATTCATGTAGAGGGTAACCCAGGTTTTACAATATGAGAGAGTTAGGTATAAAAAAACCAACTTCCTGATTATGTCAAGGGAGATCAATTTAAAAATATCAATGTCTAATTATACCCTTTCTGAACAAGCCTCATTTATGGTATAAACTCTAGGACGTAGCTTAAGTCAGTTGATAAATATCAATGATTACAAGGGATAACCACTCCATGGCTTCGAAACAATTTTCCATAGAATTAGAGGTTCTTTTCAAGAAAAGGAAAAATACAGGGCAGAGATTCTAAATACAGGGTAAGAGATATATATGTAAAAAAAAAAGTGCTAAATGTGAGGAAAAGTGAGAAAAGGTTTTAATTAAACAGTGAGAATGGTCCTAATCTTACTACATTTATGAAGAAAGAAACCAACAAAAGCAAAACCAATGGCTTAAAGCTTTAGCAGAGATGTGACTAAAAAAATGTGATGATACAAGAAGTTCTATTCCAGAAAAAAGTACATAATTGTGCTGAAAGTATGGTGGTAAAATCCTGGCGAGTCTGCTAAATAAAGTCTCAATTAGGTAAGGCGTAAAGAGGAAGTCCCACACAACTTCTCTGGACCCTAACATCACTTTAAAAACAAG